TATTTGATGTATTTATGACGGCATTTTAAAGACCTTGTCTTTCAACTGGAACATCTGGGTCATCTATGGTTTTGTTCTAGTGACCATTCTTTTCTCGATTAGTCACAGTTCCTGCTCCTTTGTGTGCCATATATACTGGGGTTGGGGGGGTTGTTTTTGGTTTTTTTGGGTTTTTTTTTAACATCTTAAGCTGAATGGTGTATATTAAAAAAAAAAAACAGAAGAGACAGGAGCAGGCTCTCTGTCCCTACCTCCAGCAGGGCTTCGGGACTCCAACACCATAAAATCACGTATCTCTGCTTTTCAATCCAGCCCAATGCCAGTTTGGGGAGATTTTCTACCAGCTCCTTCTCCCTCCCACTCTCCCACATTTTGGACCAGAATGGCCTCACACACATGTAAACACACAGCTCTTCAGCCTGGAGCCAATGATTGCTTTCCCAAAGTTGAGCACAGGGCAGAACAGGAGGGAAATATGAGGTTCATGCACACATGCCCCATCAAACCTGCAGTGATTTCACTGTAAATCCTGCAGGTGCCTCGAGAATCACCCCCACAAATCCAGTGGAGATCTCTTAGGACCCTGAAGAGCTCCTGCACATTCAGACACTGCATCATGAAAACCCCAACCAAGCTTTCCTCTGCGGGTTCAGTTCGGAATGAAGCTTCTTCAGGGAACTGCAAGGATCCATTATGGCTGTATTTCAGATATTCAAAATCAAGGTAGCCTTGCAGTTACTCATGGAGGTTGACTGAGAAACCTGGCTTCCAAAACTATTTGGTCACATATATCAAGTGATACAGCCCTTGTGTTACCAAGTCCAAACTTGTTATGCTCGCCGCCCAACAGGCCAATAAATCGGGAGATGTGATGGGGCAAGGAATAGCAAAACTTTATTTGGAAAGCCGGCAAACCGAAAAGATGGCAGACTAATGTCTTGAAGGACCATTAACACTTAAATCAGAATTTAGGCTCCTTTTATACTAAAAAGGGGAGGGGGTGTGGTTGGTTGTTGCGAACTTCTTGGTGTAGGAATTCTTTGTTCTTGTAGCTGTCCATGTGGGTCAGGTCCTGGCACCCCTGTAAAATCTTTAAAACAAGTATTTTCTGTTCTGCAACTTGTTATCTTTATGTAAGTGCAGAAGTGTTAATATCCTTAAAGGTCAGAGCCTTGAGAATAGGCTCTCCTGTACGTTTCAGGCCAAAGGAAACATTCTTTTGCAAAAGGTGCAGAGCTGGCAAGACTAAGCCTGGAAAACAGGGCACAGGGTTAAAGCCAAAGAAACACATCTAATATGGAGTCAGATTTGTTATTTTCTGTTACACTTGCTGTTCAGAATACTAAGTGGTTGGTCTTAAATTGATTTAGAGCACAGTGCTGCATCTTCACCAGGAGGGACTGATATGTCATCCTCCTGTAAACATCAGTTCTTTGCTTCTTCTAGCCCAAGCACCCAATTACCCAGCAGGAGGTTTGCCTAGCAGCAAAGTCCAGTGTCAGCGATGGCACCTTACTGCCTAGTCTTTGCACTGTGTTAGACTGGGCAGTTCCTAGTGGCATTATTAAGCTTGAGGAACGATCGCTGGAGCCAATGTGTCCAGCACCCCCACCCCCAACTCCTACCCCAAGCTCCCCTTGTCAATATAACACATCTGGACCAGCATATAGACCAATGGCAAAGCAGAGCCTGGGAAGTTCATAATCTTGAGCCTCAGGGGCTGTTCCAGCATTGTATGGGTGAAGATAATGATGGCTGTGATCTCTCAAACCGTGCTGTCTATGCCAAGCCCTGTCTTAAAGTGGGCATTGTCTCACTGGGTGCTCAAAGCCCCCCAAGAAGCAGGTACTGCTGTCAACCCCACGTTACAGACAAGGCCATCCTGTTTTAGAAAAGCAGCAAACCTCATCCTTCTTGAATACACCAGGTTTAATCATTTAAAAGACACAAAAGAAAAATTTAGCCTACATAGACACACATGTATACACACACACACACACATATATATACAATATATAAAATAACATACTTTAAAATTTTTTATTAAAATGTACTTGATTTACGATGCTAGTTTCAGGTGTATAGCAAAGTGATTCAGTCATACATATACATAGATATATACATATATTTTCAGATTCTTTTCCCTTATAGCTTATTACAAGAAATGAATATAGTTTCCTGTGCTCTATGGTAGGTCTCTGTTGTTTATCTATTTTATATATAGTAGCATGTATCTGTTAATCCCAAACTCCTAATTTATCCCTCCCTTCCTATCCCGAACTAATTTATTCCTCCCCTCCTTTCCCCTTTGGTAACCATAGTTTGTTTTCTATGTCTGAGTCTATTTCTGGTTTCTAAATAAAATTTGTATCTTTTTTAGATCCCACACATAAGTGATATAATATGATGTCTTTCTTTGACTTACTTCATTTAATATAATCTCTAGGTCTATCCATGTTGCTGCAAATGGCAGTACTTCATTCTTTTTTATGGCTGAGTAATTAAAATAACACACTTTTTTTTTAACTTGGAGGATTACAACTTTCACTGAAAACAAAGCTGTCCACATTCTCATTGCAGATGTGTTAGCATTTCTTCAGGATTATTACCTTTCCTCACACCTAAAAGAATAGCAGAAAAATCTACTAGGAATAATGTTTTCTTTAATCCAAAAGTGGAAAAAAAGGAGTGCAGAAATAATATTTTTCCACTGTATCATCAGAGGCTATTAGATAAATGACCTCTGTGGATTTAGTTGTGTTTATTTATAGAGGGTCCTAATTTTCATAACTATGCACTTATTTATTGAGGCTTAATCTCTTTCAGTTTATATATGAAACTTTTCTTGAGTACTCAACCTAACAGACTGAATGTCTTAAAGCAAAAGAAACCTGTACAAATGAAGCAAATGTTAATTCTACAATCTAAAAGCATATGGGTGTTCACTATAGAATTCTTTCCACTTTTCTGTATATTTGAAGTTTTTCACAATAAGTTGTTCAGGGGTAAGGGGAAGTCACCTGCAATGATGCTAACAAACCTTGACTTCCCATGGAACTTTCACAAGGTCACTAGTGGGAAAACATGTATCCATGTTTGAAAGCTTATCATTGCTAGCTATTAAAAAATCTTTTTTAAGTCTTATTTTCACTGACTAAAATATAGAAAATAGACAAAAAGAAAAAAGAATCTCTCTTAAGTTCACTTACACAGCTACAGAAACCTTCAGCGTATTATTGTAATTCTTTCCGATCCTATTTGTGTATATACTATTTGGTTTTATACAGTAATATTTTGCAACCTTTTTAAAAATTGTATGCAATTTGTTTAATGACCACTTGGTACTCTGTTATATAAGTTATATAAATGTACCATACTATGCAGTTCCTAAACTTAATTAATCCTCAACAAAATCACTTGGGAACACTCTTTAAAAATACACCAACTAAATAATCTCCAGGGATGGCAAGGAATATGAATTTTTGAAGTTTACCCTGTGATTTTCATGCATTTAATTAACCTAATTAATTAGCACATACTTTGTTTAATCCAGTATTTTCAAGTAATTTTGGAATCTCTGCTAAATGACAATCACAGTAATACCAATACCTATGAGGACAGGTATCTCTCTGCATACATAGACAAGTATTTCCTGAGGATAATAAAGTGGTTTGTTTGTCTTTTAAAAAGATCTAGTGATCAGGGAACTATGGAGAAACTGCAGTTCTGGGAGTGCTCACTCCACCACCATCAGGGAATTCTAGGGAAGACTGGCAGTCATCCAGGGCTGCCTTGGCTACTCAAGAAGGGGTCAATTGGAGTTAAGAGTCCTAAAAACTGTAAAAGAGCTTTCAGAACAGAGGTCTGCCTTCTCCCTTATCCCCGTAATCACAAAGGTCCTGTTCAAAAGGGCCCCCTTGAGTACTGCACTGAAATTGACTCTTGCTGTCTTCTGCTGTTTTATGCCATTTTAAAACATGCATTTCGTAGTTCACATAGTATGGATCCCCAAGAGCAGATTCTCAAACTTAGTCCCATAGCCTCCCAAGTGTTGCCAGGCATCTGCCAGTGCAATTCTGTGTGTCTATTTTGATGGTAATATACATACCAAGCAAACGCTTTACAAGTCACTCAATTTCAGGGCCTGCAGTCATATGTTTACGATCAAAATGGCACAAGTCATCACCCAAAGAAACTTAAACCAATGTTTCTCAAACCAGGATGCGTGGACATACTCCCAGAGTTCCCAGAGAAATGTTTTTCCTTTAAAAGGAGGCTATATCATACTGAAAGGTGAGAACTACTACAAAGACCACGTTGCTTTTCTCTCTTGAACGGCTCCTAGCCGGGGCCCAGCACTCGGCAAAAGCTAAGGCTGCAGTTCTGCACAGGACGCCCGTAGCTTCTAAGAGGTCTCCACCAGGCCTTCCAGGCACACTACTTGAACCCTTCCCCAGGGGAGTGATAATCAAGTCCTTGCCTTTTACCTTATTGACAGGAACTAATATTACGGGCTTCGAGAAAACTCACAGACCATCAACCCCAACCCCATTCACAGTACACGGGAAAAGCTGAGGCCCAGAGACGGGACGTGCCTTAAGCGAGGTCACACAGCTAGCTAGCAGCAGAGACAAAGCAAGAATGTAAGCCTCCTATCCCAACTTCAGTGCCTCGGCTGCTCTGTAGAGAGCACTGATTAGAAACCCCAGAGACCTCATTTCCACCACCACCCCCCCCACCCCGTCCCATTTCCACCCTCCCCTGGTCCCCAGCCTCCCTCGCGTCAAGTCGTCGGCTCGCCTCGCCCTATTCCAGGCCTCCACAAGCATTCCATACTCCCCAACTCCAATCCTACAGCTTCTGGCCTTCCCCCGCCTACGAAACACACAAACAGACAGCCGCACCACGCAGATAGCCCCGCCGGAACCGCCGTGCTCCGCCAAGCAGCGGAGTCCGCCCCGAGGCGCATGCGCCACCGTAGGTCGGCGCGCGTCGGTGACGTCACGGGCGGCGCCATCCACGAGCTGGGAGTCTGCGACTCGAGCTGCTGGTGGGACCGTGTCTGTCTGTCGACTTAGCCTACTGGGCGACCTTGGGCACAGGAACCTCTCCACCGCCAACTCTGACGGGAGAGGCTCTGGTGATCGAGGGCTGCTGAAGAAAGTAGAGAGGAGTGAGCGACGCCTGAAGGAGACGTCAGCAGAGCGCACCGGAAGCAGTCCGAGAATGAAGGGTAAGCAGGGTTGAGGGCCACGAAATTGGAGAGGGGTGGATGTAGAGAGTCGGAGACTAGGTGTAGGTGTTGGTGGGTGAAAAGGGTCGCTGCGGAGTCCGAACGGAACTGCTGTGGGAATTGCCCTGCCTTACATAAGTGAAACTGAGCCCGGAGTCCCAGTTGGCCTGACTCAGTCTTGGAGCTAGGGATTGATGTCAGAGTTGGCCCCAGGCAGATTGCCTCAGGGGGCTGCTCAGTGGTGCTAGAGAAGGGCCCAAGGACTTGGCCCGACTTGGCCCGACTTGGCCACTACCTCCCTGGGTGGCGTGGTCAAGGCCCTGGCCCTCTCTGCAATCCGGTTTCCAATTTTGTAAGGTATTGATAATGGTACCTGCCCAGTATGCTGTGCGTGAACAGCCCTACTGATGTAAAGCATAGGAAGCGTGCTGGGGAGTAATATCACTAACCTAAGGCTTTGGGAGCTGAGCAGAGGAGAGATGTGCCGCAGAGGGGAGCAAGCACCCAGTACAGTTATAAACAAGGGAGTGACACCGTTAAAACTGGATTTTGAATTCCACCTCTGCCACTCCCTACCTATGTGATCAAGTTAAGTATCTCAGCGTATCTGAACTTAAGTTTTCTCAGTGCATAATAGGAATAATAACTAAAGGATGCTTGAGAAAGTATAATGTGATAAAATATATGTAGCTTTTAATCAGGATCATGGCAAGTAACCAGGACTCAATAACTGTTAGATGTCTATCATTACAGGGGGGTAAAAAAAAAAAGACTTCCAGGTCTAATGCTAGGCATCTGTAACCAGTGCAAAGTCATTTCTGGGGTCCCAGGCCCTGCAAGTTGCTCTCTACCAACAAGTTTTAATCCCTATCTTCCATTTGCGGGAGAACCAGACTCTGTATATAAAACTTGTAACCACTTTGGTTTGCTTGTTCATATGTACTCAGGGGAAGCACAGTGGAACTGGGGTGGAGTTTACAGAGTGCAGTGTGAATCAGAATTTCCAGTCTTTTGGCCCTTGAACCAAGCCTTTATGTCATTCTTATCCCATTCACACCCATGCTCTGTTCCAGTGCTGTGGTTTTCTTCTTAAGACAAATTAAGAAATAGGAGTATGAAAGTTTTTACAGGTTGAAACCACATTGAGTAATATATATTTTGAGCTTGAAGAAAGATCTGCCGTATTTTATCAGTTTAGGACACCATCAACGGTATGATACATCTCAGTTTCATAGATATTAAAATGTGAGAAAGTCTTTTCTTAGACATCTAACAGTCAAAAAATTGTAATGGTTCTGATCATCTTCATCCTGGAAAGCCCCGCCACATAACTTTTAAATAAGTTACATCATTAGACTTTTAGATCAACTGCTCAGGCTCCTAACCACAGTATTTTAAACCAGTGCAACTCCAGGCAATGTCTGCTGAGATGCAGTAGCATCTGAGAACTTGTTAGAGATGCAGGATCTGAGGGTGGGTCCCAAGAATCTACATTTTAATAAGATCCCAGAGCTTCTGATACACATTAGCGTTTGAGAAGCACTATTTTAGAGCACACCACTGGAACTTCGAGGATGGTGTGGCTGAAGGGTGGGACAAGAGACATCCAAGAAGGCTTTGAGATTGTGCTCTTTGTCCTAACCCCATCTTCTTCTATCTCTGAATGAGTGTCATTATTTTCATAGTTATAAACATTTTAGGTCTTACAGTCATAGCCAACAGGAATGATCATTTCTTGCTTTGTTTTTTTTTTTTTCTTTAATCCCCCAGGTGTGATCTACCATGCCTTTTCTCAGAAAGAGGCGAAAGAGTTGGATGTTCAGGTACAGTGCTTGGCAGGAGGTCAGGGGGCAACAGAGGTGATGACAGAGATGACTCAGTGACTTTTAAACCTTTAGTGGTGTTTTAGATGTCCTCTCCCACGTTTTACCCCTCACATTTCCAGCAGATGTGTTAGGCTTAATCAAGATCTGTTGTTCTGCTGGCCTTCTTTCCCATTATACCAGAGTCAAGTTTGGTTAACTGGGACTTCTTGATCTGTGTCATCTCCCACTGTGTAGGGGACACCAGACTATACCCACCTGAAACCTGCCATGGCGAGCACTGTCATTTGACCTTGTTATAGTGCCCCCTTCACTCCTGAAGAGAGCATGCAGATCACATTGCATAAGTGTAATTTCTGGATTATATCTAGATGGTAGAAACATACGTTATGAGTTTAGAAAAAGCTTCACTGGTGACATAATGAGGGAGTTAATTTGAAATTAAGATTTTGAAATACTAATATACCTTTATTTGGCTTCTCTATGAAAGATGGGTATTTTCCTCCTTTTTTTAATTGAAGTATAGTTGATTTACAATGTTGTATTAGTTTCTCGTATACAGCATATACATATATATATAAAAAACTGAATAGATATAAATAAAGATGGGTATTTAAATGTACCACTTAGGTATTTAAAGAATCAAATAATTATCCTTTTACAGTAATAATAGTGATGCAACTAAAAGTACAAAGCTGAAGCTGACTGCCCTTCTGTCCATGGCTACTTGAAGACTGTGTGTTATCTTCATCCCTACCTCCCACCCGCCACTGTGCCCGATTCTCCTCCATGAAGGGAGAGCTCGATTATTGTTGACACATTAGCCTCAAGGTGTTTGCAGACTGGTTAGTGCAACAGAGATTCAGGAAATGGCCCAGCCAAGAGGGGGGACCTCAGTAGACCGTGCTCCCTGGGGCTGTGGCAGACATGAAGGCAGAGACACCTGAGTGACGACTAGGCTGGTGGAACTCCAACTTGACAGACAGGATGCTTGTAGGTTTTTTTGAAGAATTACACACAATTTTGACAGTTACTTTGCCAGGAAGTCCTCTCAGAGCAGCTGCTCAGTCACAGTCATATGACGCTCCGCTCTGTGTGGAAAAGAGTGAACACGTGGGGCTAAGATACGCCGACAGTTTCTTTCCCCAAGTGATTCCAGAGCAGACTTGGAGAGTAGCCATGTGGCGTCCACTACAGTACTCAAGTAAAAAGTATCGCAGTGTGTCAGAATCCCTTCCTGCTGCGGCTGGGCCCACCGGGAGTACTTGGTTATGCTGATTTTACTAGTATTAGGGTCATTTCTGTTGAGTCCATAGCTTGGTTCTGTTGTGAGCTTGCCTTCCCCTGATCATGACTGTTTAAATACTGTTTTCATACATTTCTCAAGCTTTCCTCCCTGCCAAGGATGAGAGAAGTCTTTTCTTCCAAATATAATGGTGTTACTTATTTTTTGTCATCAGAATACCCTCAGAGAAGTGAGGCAGGAAGCTGGAGGTTGACACGGCTATTTTGTGTGGCAGTCCCAAATTGGCATTTGCGCGTGACTTTCATATCTGGCCAGCTGTGGGTAGCAAACACTTGGCAGATGAGAGGCTGGGTGCTCCTCAGTGGGTCGATAGGTGGGTCTGCAAAGGCAGCCCAACTGCTGTTGCAGCGGTGGAGGGGGGTGGCCCTGGGGTCCTGGGCAGCCCAGCCAGGGCAGTGAGCACCACACCATCTTACCCCCATGCAGCACCCAGGAAGCCAGCGGGCCGAGGCCTTCGTGAGGGCCTTCCTGAAGCGGAGCATGCCCCGCATGAGCCAGCAAGCCCGGGAGGACCACCTGCAACGCAAGGCTGTTGTTCTGGAGTACTTCACTCATCGGAAGCGGAAGGAAAAGAGAAAGAAATCCAAAGGCCTCTCTGCTAAGCAGCGGAGGGAGCTGCGGCTCTTTGACATTAAGCCAGAGCAGCAGAGGTATGCCAGGCCTCTCCTGCCTTTCCACCCCAGCAGCTTGATCTTCCTAGCACTGAGTGTGGACTTGGAAGTCTAGGTAGCCTGGGCTCCACTTAAGCTAAGAGAGCCTCTCCCACTTCTGCCACAAGGGGGCAGCCTTCCTTTACCAATTCAGACTGGGTTTGGCTTTTCTGCTGGGCTTGTGTCCTAGCCTTAAGGAATGAGACCTGTTCCATAAGTGGGTCTGTTGCCCATGGCAACAGGCTATTTGTCTTTCAGTTTTCTTAGAAAAAAGAGGAACTGACATTTCTTAATATGTATCTCTTTGTAGCCTTTAATGGCAATAGACACAATCATCCACTGGGGTTTTATTTCCAAAGAACGCACTGCCCACGTGTTTCAGAAGGTGCTGAAAGAGACTCGTCACTCTCTGTGGGAGGATGCGTTCCTCCCTGCAGCTGACACTCCATCCCTCCTTGGCCACAGCTCAGCATTTGCATGTCTTAGGACTGTTCCTAGGGTTTTCTTCAAGGTCTGTAGACAAGTGGCCTCCCACATCCCACAAGACAGAGTCTGTCGCTTTGCTCATGGCCCCTCTCGCAAGATCAGCTGGGCTTCGGGAGGAGGCAGGGACTGCTGCCTGCCCCGAGTGTTCCCCACTCTTGTCCCCACTGACAGAGTCCACTTTGGGTTGAGCTGGAGGCTCTCATTTCTCTAACCAGTAGCTTTGTTGACTGGATTCCTGACAGAGCACTAGGGAGGCCCCTTTGGGGTCCTCTTACCTGACCCTCCCCTTCACCCCACTATTTCTCACTCACCCTCCAGACAGACTTGTCACCTTGCACAGGGACTTACAACAACAAGCAGCTCCTGTTTACTGAAGGCTTACTGGGTTCAGCTTACTGTAACAGAAAACCTCAAAATAGCAGTGGCCTAAGTGAGACTGAAGTTTATTTCTGTCTTAGGAAAAGAAATCCAGATGAATGCCAGCCTGGGCTGGTGTGGCAGGCAGTTCCATGGCCATCAGAACACCGAGAGTGTAGCCTTGGGGGCATCCTTGCTGCCCACCCTCTTTAGATGTTGCTTCGTGGTCTCAGATGTCAGCTTGAGCTCCAGCTGTCACGGCCGCATCTAGCCAGCAGGAAGGATGAAGGGGCAAGAGAGGCAACGCCTTCCTCTTCTCATTAGCAAAAAAGCCTCAAGAGGTTTCTACCAGAGAGGAAACTGAGGTTTGAGAGGTGAAAGTACTGGATTCTAGGGAGGTTATCCAGAGTAGAACTAGGATTTGCGCCCAGGCCCCAGTGATCCGGGTCATGATCCTTGGCATAACTCTTTGGATGTTACAATCCCAAGCTCACATTGCCCAACTTTTTACCTCTTTCTGACTTTACCACAGGTACAGTCTTTTTCTCCCTCTGCATGAACTCTGGAAACAGTACATCCGGGATCTGTGCAATGGTCTCAAACCAGACACGTGAGTTGCAATTCTGAAGCCTTGCCCTTTGGAGGTAGAGCCCAGGTCTTAGGGTCATTGTAAATGCTGCCTTCAGAGCTTGCTGTCAGCATCGCCTGGCTGCAGGAGTTTGTAGACCTGTTCGCTGCTTTCAGAATTCTTTCTCGTGGTACGCTTTAAGGGCTTCTGTTTACCTCGTAGGCAGCCACAGATGATTCAGGCCAAGCTCTTGAAGGCAGATCTTCATGGCGCTATTGTTTCAGGTAATTTTTCTCAAAGCACATCATCTGGATGCCCAAGTAGTCACTCGGGGCAACATAGTGCTGTGTCACGGTATTAGACACTTTCCTTGCCGTGCGGATGTCCCCACGTCGCCAGCATTGAGGGTGGGAGGTGACTGTAGCTGTCTTGGCCAGTGCTGGCCACTTGTTGGACACTCTCAATGTTCTCGGTGTACCTTCTCCACACAGAGACCCTGCTGGTATCCCAAAGGGCACAGCAGCTGATGGCACTCCCCACAGCCTGGTATCTTGAACAGTCCCGTGGTTTTTAAATGTCAGCTGTGGATCAACAGTTCCCAAGTTGTCATCTCCAGCACAGACCTTTCCCTTGAACTCCTTGAATCCAGCTGTCCACTGGACACACAGTGCCAGATGTGCAGTAGGCACTGCAAAATTTGCATACCCAGAACAGGGCTCTGGGCCCCTCGGCCGATAAGTGCCTCCCCGGGTCTTCCCCATCTCACTTACCACCAGGAATCACTGTTAGTAGTGCCCCCGAGCGCCACTAATAGTAGTGCCGCTGTTTGCCCTGCTTGTTCAGGCCAAAACCCACCTCCAGCCCATCAGCACGTCCTAACACCCAGACCTAAGCCACCACCGCCTCCCCTGGGTTACAGCAAAGCTGCCTAACCCTCTGCCTCCTGATGCACTGCCCCTCCCCTGACCAGGCAGCTGGAGTGTAAGTTTTATAACAAATCAAGCTGTGTCCCTTCTGCCTCCTTACTGTGGTCCAAGTGCCCTGTCCAGCCTCCTTGGGCACCCGCCTCCTTGGGCACCAGGTCCAATCACAATGGAAGCTTTCTGCTTCTCACCAGACCTGTCCCTGCCTCAGGGCCTTTGCTTCTTCCTTCTGCCCAGAGTGTTCTGTGTGCTCACAGACTGACTCTTGTTACCCAGGTCCCTACTCAGATGTCACTTCCCAGGGGCCTGCCACCACTAAAGGTGACCCTGCCCCCACCCCCATACCCTGTCCTTTTTTCATAACACTCATCACTATCAGAAAATACAGTTGTCTGGTTTGGTACACAGTACCCTTCCCCCTATTAGAACAGCAGGTCCGTGAGAGCAGAACCCAGGACTGTCTTGTTCACCTCCCTAGGACAGTGCCAGGCACATGTCAGGGGTTCTGTGAATGTGTGTTGCCTGCTTTGCAGCATGGGTCAGGGGAGGCGAGGGCCTGCTGCCTGTGGTGGCAGCTAACTGCCATTCTTGCCACCATTCAGGAGGTTGTGGGAAGACAGATGTTTATTCAGGTCCCATAAATGAGACCTGGCCTTGCCAGGGCAACCTGACTGTGGGCTTTGGTGGTGCTGGATGCACATGTGACCTCTTGGCTCCACTATACTGCCAGGGCCCCTCTGGCTGCAGGCCCTCCAAAGGACACTTTATCAGAGCAGCCCGGAGGCTACAAAGCCACCTGCAAGGGATTGAGAAGCCTGGATGCTCATTCCACTTAGCCCCTGCCCAGCTGAGGATCCTCCGCCTCCCCCTGCCCCTCTGGGTGCTCTTTCTTCCTCTGCTGGCTCAGGGTTGGGACCAGGACCCCCAGCTCCCGAAGGCCTGACTGCCTGTGGCTCCCTCAACACTGCAGAAGCCTGAGCCCTGAACAACCTTTTTCCTTTGCAGTCACAAAATCCAAATGCCCCTCTTACGTGGGCGTTACAGGAATCCTTCTACAGGAAACAAAGCACGTTTTCAAAATTATCACTAAAGAAGACCGCCTGAAAGGTACGGAACTGGATCTCTGAAGGTGCCTGGGGCTGCGACACCCCGGCTGATTTGTCAGCCCTTTCCTCCTGGTTCTCAGGGGCGGTCTGGCCTTTCAAGTCAGCACAGATTGTAGGTACCTGCCGATCTTATGTCCCAGGCCTGCAGAGGCCAGCCCAGCACCCAGGGCTCTCCCTGAGGCTCTCGTGAGCCCAGCCAGCAGCCTGGTGCAGATGAGATCAGAGGAAGGAAGGGTTGCTTGTCTAGGCTTCCAGACACCTGGGTCTGTTGCCCAGACTGGGACCCTTCACCTGCCCAAAGGCTGCTGCCTCCCAGTGGGTGTAGCCAGATACCAGGGAGGAAGCTAAGGTAGCCCCCGCCCCTGGAGTTTGAGGAGCCGCACCCTTGGTGGTGACGCGGGTTCCAGGGAAGCAAGTGCGGGCCCACTGGCCTGGTGTGCCGGGGCTCGCTGTGCTGGCTGGGCGGGCAGCCGGTCTGTCGAGGTTTCCACACCCCCGATTTCAAAACCACACTGAGGTTTTTGTTCCTGTAAGTTTGGAGCTTGGTTTTCTTGCTGCTTTCTTCCATTTCCCTATATATTCTGCTCTCATTTTAAACCTCAGAAAGTGGTATACAAGTTTCCCCAATAAGCATAAAGCTGTGCGTCATCTGAAAGTTATGTGGTAAGACCTGTTTTTGGCAGTTTTTCTGAGAGTTTCTGGTTCTGGGAGTTTGGTTCAGAGCCTTTGACCCTGAAAATTAGGTGTTGAGTTATATGTAAAACGTGACTAAATTGGCCTTCTTGGCAGAATAGCCCTCTGTAATCCTGGTGTGTTACCTCTGTGGGTTCCCCCATTTCCCATTAGCGTTTCGTATGTTCTGGTATGAACATCTTAGGAATAATATTCTTCATAAAAGTGAACTTACTACCAGGATTCTTTTCCTCATCCTTTTTCTCCTGCTTTTTTTCTCAGTTATCCCCAAGCTAAACTGTGTGTTCACTGTGGAGGTCGATGGCTTTGTGTCCTACATTTATGGGAGCAAATTCCAGCTGCGGTCAAGCGAGCGATCTGCAAAGAAGTTCAAAGCAAAGGGAACGATTGACCTGTGAGCTCCTGCTGCCTAAAGGGATCGTTTATGACAGCTGAGAATTGGAACACCCTGAACGAATGCCCACTGTTCAAGAAAGAGATGATCAGGCCAATTCTGGTTACAGACCACCTCCAGCCAGTTTAAATCAGAATTAAGGACAGTTTACCATCTGGGAAGAATACACTGTACTGGGCACAGTGGTCGGGGGGCCAGGGGTCTGTCTTTATAGGTGCCCTTGTTTTTGCGTCTCTCCCATGGAGAGAAAAGTTTGGCGGAAAACTTCAGGATTAACACATTGACTTGAATACTGGGATTAACTGAGTTTTTATTAAATAGTGGGATTATTTGGGTTTTTTTTTTCTTTTTCCGTGTTTTTGGAATGTTCTATGTTGAATCCGTTGTTTATGTAATAGTAAAATATGCATGTGGGCATGAACAGGCTACAGAAAGATTCCTGCAGCACAGCCAGGATGGAAGGGGAGGCCCGAGGCTGCGCCTGGGTCTGCCTTTACTTCCGCTCTGTGGAAGCTGCCAGCAGGCACCGTGTCTTACGAGTCAGGGGTACCCTTCATCTTTGACACGTCACTTGAAGTCATGGCTGCCATCAAACTCTTTGACCTGAGGTTTACTTTGCTCTTTCAAGAAAGTTAAAGAGGAATGAGTGGTGAAGTCGCCAAGTAACATAGGGCCCATTCGGGGTTTAGAAAACTGGGGCAGGCCACAGCGGCAGAATGCTGGGCCCAGGGGTGCTTATTAATGGTTGCTCCAGTGTAAGGCACTTCAAACTACAGAGTGTGCTCATTCCTGAGTGCGTTAGGCTCCAGGGGAAGGTAGGCTGAAGGCAAAATGAGACTGCAGCTCTTCCCAAGGTCTAACGTTCTAGGAAAGCCTCAGTCCCCAGCAGTGGCACCTTTGTTCCATTTTTGCTGCCAGAAGGCTTGGCTCTGCAGTCTGCCCCCAGCCCTGTGTGGCAGTGTGTCTGTGGGCCAGTAGATGGGGCCCTTCTCTGCAGGGCCTGAGTGCCAACTGGACGGGTGATTCCGGGGCAGGGACCAGCCTTCCGAGGTCTGCTATTGGGAGAACCACATGGCTCAGAAGGTCGTGTCGCCCCTTGCTTTTGACAAGCAAGTGTTTGCTGACCAACAAGGTGAGGCCAGAAGCATTCCTGGTGACAAAATGGCAGCAAATCACGTGCTTTTTATTCCACAACAAGAAAAGCAGCGATGACAGAGGCTTCGCTTTCTCCGCATTTCACACTGGACGAGAAACTCCGTGGTGGAGAAGGGACGCGGAAACACTGACTTTGCAGCAGGAGCGCAAGAAGGCCCAGCTGTACCTCTACTCCCCCCCGAAGGCCAGGCGCGCCCAGAGTCTCCCACGGACCTGCCCGGCGGCTGCACCCCGCTTCCGTCCGCGCACGGTGTTCCTCGGCAGCAGGGTCCGAGTCTCCTTGGGTGCTCTCTCCAGTCTAGCCGTCGCTGCCAGTGGTTCAGAGCCGAGTCCCAGCACCACCTCAGGCAGGGCAGCCTGACCCAGCGACGGCCCCGGTGTGCAGCCACAAGGAGACTCGGGCTCACAGCGCTCCCTTGCCCGGGGCCTCACCACCTGCCAGAGGTAGAGCTGGGATTGAAACCCTGCGTTGTAGCTCCAGCATCACGCCTTTGACGAGGGCGTGACCGCAAGGATGAGAAGATACTGCCAAAGTCCGCAGCGTGGTCCCCTTCTTACCGGCGTTCCCACCGAGGAAATCTCCGCCTCCCGTGTAGGACGGCTCCAGCTGTCTGAAGGTGCCACGTGGTACCAGCGTAGGTGCTGTAACGTCCTAAAGCCCACCGCTCTCACCCACCCCTCCGCGATGGGAAGGGCAGCCAGTGTTGTGTAAACATGCAGTTGTTTTCCAGAAAAGTTGTTGTAATCACTTGCCGTGTGAAATCTGTTTCTCATTTGGCGCAGACTCAAGTTTCCATGTGAGTAGCTGTTTAGTTTGTAGACTTCTCTCCCCCTCCCAAGGAGACTCGGTGAGAGCGCTCACCTGCCACGAAGCTGGTGCTGTACATGCCGGTTTCTGGGATGCCCTGTTGTCCCCGTGGCCCGCTTAGGGGTCGCTAGGTCCTGTGCCCCAAGGACCATGCCGTCCTCCCTGGCAGAAGATGGGGTGAATGGAGCTCAGGCCGTGCTGGGCGCTGGCTGTGAGCGAGCATTCCTGACGAAGCTGTGCTGACCGCTGCACAGGGAAGTGGATCAGGGCTGGCCGTGTCCCCACGGCTGCGGCCCAGGGCTTGTCACGGAGGGCAGTGTGGTACTTTGCAGTCCTCTCCCTCCCATCTCCACTGTCCAGAGAGCAGGACCCTGGTAGAGCTGGGGCCTCAGACACACAGGACACCGGTGAGACACAGCTAAATCTGCCGCATGTCTAAACCTTCATGCACAGGGGAACCCTGTGCTTGGAGGGCCCGTGAAGCAGCAGAGTGATTAATGTAGTCCAACCTCGGGATGGGACAGAGGCGGCTGCAGGGCCAGGAGACACCGGTGTGGTGACCCTCTCCTCCCCAGAGAGCGAGTGGGCCCCAGCCCTTTACCTTCCCCAGGGCCAGGTCTGTGGAGGACACAGCCGCAGCGCGGGGCCCACAGAGGACAGGCCAGAGCCTCTCTAGGGCAGAAGAGGCATGAAGCCCCTGAAGGGGAAGGAGGCGGCGTGGGCCATGGCCAGTGTATTAGCCCGGCCTGCCGTAACAACATGCTGCAGGTGGGCGGCTTAACAGACATTTCTTCTCTCACTGTTCTGGAAGCTGGAAGTCCAAGATTAGGGCGCTGTCAGGATTGCTGTCTGGTGAGAACTTTCTTCTTGGCCACCTCGCTCATCCTCACGCAGCCTTCTGTGTGCACTGAGAGAGAGATCTCCAGTGTTTCTTCCTCTTCTTACAAGGGCACCAGTCCTGTAGGATCAAAGCCCCTCTTTATAACCTCATTTAATTGTAATTACCTCCTTAAAGGCTCAGGGCTTTGACACAGGAATTTGGAGGGGGACATCATTCAGTCCACGACAGCCATGGAGCTGTCCCAGCTGGGACAGACAGGTTGTGCCCCCCAGCCTGGCCCCCATCCTCAGACACCAGTCGGCCTGGCCTTCCTACGCCTCAGTATGGGTGCTTGGACCATTAGCCAGTTCAGGCAGCCCAGCTACCGGACCCTGAGCTCCCACTACCAGTGGATTCCATGACTTGCTCATGGAACTTGGGTTCACCTGCTCCCTCCAGTACCAGGACTTCTGGGGGTGCCAGTTTCCCTTATATTTCTGCAAACAGCTGAGCTTCTCTTCCGTCGTCCTCTAGTTAGGGCCAGGCACAGTCTGGTTGGGGGAGGACATGCACACACAGGCGGGCAGGATGGGAAGGGAGGCTCCCTAGAGGAGGCGGCTCTGGATCCAGGCACCTGTGGGATGTGAAGAGTGTGGTCACACAGAGGCTCAGGTTTTCGGGACCTGCAGGAGGAGAAGCAAGGAGGGCCAAGGGGCTACAGCTGCCAGTCTCAATCTCAGGAGATGCCCAGTTTGCCTATGGGAGGGGAGAGATAGTGGGAGCTGCTAGAAGGGTTCTAATCTGTGGGGCGGGATGTGGAATTCTGATCCATTTACCCAGTTCTGAAGTCTTTAGCAGCCTCAGTGTCAACCATCTGTCAAGTGGGGCCATGAGACTAAATCAGGGTTTCCTGGAGTGGGATTCTGGAACTTCCTGTATGAGAATCAACAGGATGCAGGTTAAAGGCAGCCAGATCCTGGGCCGCAGTCAGACTCCAGGGGTGGGACTCATAGCCTTATGTTCCTCTAAGATCCCAGCTGGTTCCTCCAGGCATTGGTGTTTGAGGATCGTGGACTCCAGATGGTGTCTGCAGTCTCTTCCAGCTCTGACATCTGGACTGTGATTTAAGATTAGGTCCTCTTGGGATGGTGCTTTCTGGATGCTGGAAAAGATTGTCAAATGACTGATCTCTCAGATTCTGAAGAGTAAACATTGAACACCCACCCCCAAAGCCATAAATTCCGGTAAAAAGCTTGCTTTCTGGACAATGGCTTTAGTTCTAATTTAGTTTGCATTTCGTAGTGATAATGCCTAATTAAGACATCTGTTAAATGTCTATAATATTAATTTAATAGAGAGGGGTCTAATAGAACTGTATTGGAATTGTCCATTTAATTAACCTCATGGGCCTTTAATGGATGTCTTAAATAGACATCATTAACAAGAGTGCGAGACAAATTAAAATTAGAGTCAATAACATTCTTGGTAATTTTTCCTGAGCTGTGAAGGACAAGCATTGCTAAGTAGACAGATGCAGACATGGGCTGCACAGAGGAGTGCCGGAGCTGGCGTCCCCAGCGGGGGTCCAGAATGGACGAGGCCCCAAGTGGAGTTCAACCATTCTGTGTCCTGGTCAGCTTTGCCCAAAATGGGTGCTCCTGTCCAGCCATAGGAGGCAGCTCTCAGGAGCGCAGACCTGTCCCTCTGTATACCTTTCACAGACCTGGTCCTCTAGACCGAGCACTTGGACGCGGGAGGAAGATGGAGGAGGAAGGAGGACTCGCCCAGAGATTCTCACTAAATACCAGATGCGTGGGTCAGGTGATACGGGACCGACTAGGACAGGGCCGGATTGGCTGGGCTGGGTGGGTGGAATGTGATGAGATGTGATGAAAAGGAAAACATTTTATTGCTTTTGGCTTCACTCTCCACTGAACGGCTCTTGCTTAAATGAACTACATCTCTCCAAAGCAGGCAGTCAGTTCTCTCTTACTTGGTTTCTCATCAGCATTTGACATGACTAACCACTCCCCCTGCCTCTTGAAACATTTCTGTAGCCCCTCCCTCTTGACTCTTCTCCCGGCCACACCTTCTCACTGTCCTTTTATGGACCCTCCTCCTCTTCCGAACTTCTAAATGTTGGATGAGCCCTGAACTCCATTTTTGGACTCCTCCACATTTGCTGCCTAGGTGATCTCAGCCACGATTTCAGATGCTCTTAAAACTCAAAATCTTATTGGCAACCGAACTTCCCGTAACCCAGGAATCTGTAACTTAATTATCTGCCTCCCCCCTAGTTCGAATGTGAACCCCTGAAGGACAGGACTCTGCTTTGATCGCTGCTGTCTCCTTAGTGCTTACTGGGGAGACAGGTGCTCCATGAGGGAATGAACACAAGTGCCCAGTGACATCTCCACCTGCCCCGCTAATGGCACCCCAGCCTGATAGGGCTGCACACAGCTCTGTTGCCTTTCCTCCGCTCCCACCTCAGCCAGTGGCCTCGTGTCTCTCCCATTACTTAAGTCAGAGACCCAGACGTCATCCAGTCTTGCATTCATACCCTCCATCCAATCTCTCATTAAGTCCTGGTGGCTCCCCTGCCAGCCCTTGCCATCTCCCTGCTCCCACCTACCATCATCTCAGCCACAGCCTCGGCCCCTCACTGACCTCCCTGCCTCCATGCGAGGCCCCACCACAGCCCAAGTGACCTTTGTGAAGGATGACTCATCATACCACCCTTCTGCTCGGAACCCACAAGTGATTTCCCAGTACACTTAAAGCCAGCTCCCAACCTCCCACACCCAACCCCAGCCAGAATCTCCAGCCCTGTCCCAGCCCACCTCCCCGGTGTCCTGCCCCGAGCTTTCTCTATATACCTCTGTTCTACTCAGAGCGTTGGCACCTGGCCGCTCCCTCTGCTTGGGACTTTTCCCCTGCACCTGCAGCCACAAGGCAGCCCCTCCTCTGCGTTCAGCTGCCCACAACTGACCAGCCTCCCTCTCAGAGGGGCCGCCCCATCCTAGCCCAGCAGCCCCGTACACCAGTTCCTCTCTCATGTGACCCCATCTCACGTTTTCTGTAGTATTTCTCAGTACCTAACAATCTTATCTGCTGTTCATTGCCATTTTCTTCCACTAGCGTGTAAGTGCCATGAACACTGGGACTTTGCCTGTCTTACTTGCCATTGTAAACTTTGTGACCTCAGTGCCATCTAGAACGCTGCCTTGCACATAATAAGTGTTCAGTTAAACAGCTGTTCTGTCCAAAACAAAACAAAAAGCGAAAAAACAAGGAGCCAAGGGTGTGGCCTAATGATGGATAAGGGTTAGCACACGGTAGCGAGCCAGGAGGCTGGCGGGTAACCCCCGCCAGTCCAGACAACCCCACCACCACCACCGCGGCTTTCCCACTGCAGAGCAGCACTATATCCTGGGACCCACAGGCTCCCTCTCCTTCCACACTGGCAGACACCCCAGGCAGCAGCAGCAGTCCCCCACACGGCAGCCCTGTGTCATCAGCCCTGCCCTTCCTGGCTACTCAGCCAGATGTGCTTACACTCCAGGAACAGCTGTGACATGCAGTGTGTGTGGCCAGCCCTCCTCTGCCCTTTCCAGCTTCGTGCATTGGACCCCAGGGTGTGGGTGGGGGCAGGTGTGGCTGGTGTGGGTGACCCAGCCTGGAGAGGCTGAGCTCAAGGAGACTGGCATTCAGTCAGGAAACCCGAGCTCAAGGCCCAGCTTACTCCTGACCTTCAGGTTCAACCCCAGAGGACGTGAAAAAATATTCTGCTTATGGTTGTTTCATTTAATGTACACAAATAAACCATCCCCTCTGCCAGAAGAAAGGGAGGGACAGAAACAATGCTGCAGACGGCGTTGCCAGTGGCCCCGCCCTTGCAGTGCTGTGAGATGGAAGCATCCTGAATTGCCCTCTGTCTCCCCAGAAAGTGACTGTAACGCTGCTTGTAATAATCCAGCCCTCAAACCAGCGGTGTGCGGCAGGGCTCCCCTGGCCAGGAGAGCCGACTTTGCCTCTCTTCCCAAAGCACCACTCACGTTGGCAACTCACAACCGGCCCTGGTGGGAAGATCTATACCACGGAAGTTCACACCACGCTACCAGTCAGGGTTGTTCA